TTTGCGGTGCAAATTCATGAAAAAATTATTACATCAAACGTTAGATACTTTTTTGATAAATAGAAACACACGAAAAACTCAAAAACATGATTTTAAGCGTAGTTAACCCTCTTACCGGCCTTAAAATCTTAGAGGTATCAGAGAGGTGATAACACCATCGGGCATTGTACTACCAGCTAGAGTAAGCACATTAGTAGTATGGATAACAAAACAAGGCAGCAAAGCTGTCAAATGTACAGAAAAAAAAACAGAAAAAAAGATGCAAAATTGGTTATTTTGTCAATTTTGATGCAATAATAAATAATGCCTATAATAGCACTGTCAGTCAACACCGAATTTTAATCATGCACAACAGGTAACATGGTCAATAACAGGAGCGGGCCCAGAGATTTTTTTCTGACAGTATTCCAAAGTATCTATGTTGATCCATCCTCCATTTTGATGGTCTTCCAGCAGAAAAAAAATACCGGTCAATATAAACTTAAAAACCTGACCGCCTTCCGGAAGACCCAGAAGATGGTCTCAATCCACCCCTTCAATAAGATTACAGTTTCAGGACCGTGAGAGTTCAAATTCACATGATGAAAGTCCCAATATTTAATTTGAAAATTCCAGTATGTGAAAGATAAAAATTTTCACAAAAAAACTCTATATCTTCCAGAAAATTAACTTATGTGACAGATTTTCCAACTAAAGCTGTATTTCTGTCATATGTTTCTTTTCTTTAAGTGTGAAAAGAGCAAGTGACATGGTTTTCCTTCCACGGTCACTATGGAGGCAGTGCCCAAAATAGGGTTTTGTTCAATTTTAATGCAATATTACTCAATGCTTAACATGATAAATTTATGATAAAATTAAACTATCATGGATATTCAGAAAATGTGACTAGCCCATTGAGTTCAGAGTCACACTTTGAAAATCCCAAAATCTAAACAAGAGAAAACTGTATTGAAAAGAGTTTATTTCCATTTTCAACAACATTTTTACATAAAACAAAATAAGCGATTTATTGTCATTTTTATATGATCAATTAAAAATATGTTGTCAAAAGAGAAATATCAATAGAACAAATTTAAATGTCCAACTTGCTCCATTCTGAGATTCTTAACTTAGTGAATGATTGAATCTGACGAACTGCAATGATATGAGTTCCTTTCCATTTTTGATACTTTATTACACAATGCACAATAAAAGGTGTACCGTCATTTTTATATAATCAACTAACAATATTGTTAAGAAGCAGAAAATGTCAAAACAACACTTTTACATATCTAATTAGTTCCATAATGAGACTGTTAACATGCCTAAGAATTAAATCTGAAGAAAAAACACTTATATACAAAAAGGCTAATAACTTCATCAAAACTTAACTGATCAAGTTTATTTTCAAACTTGATCTGTATACTAGTCAGACTGATCACTCCTGTGAGTTTTAAGACAAAAGACTGATTGGTTTTCCTTATAATACGTTATCAGTGTTGCATATATGCTGAATAATGAAAAAAAACAGTATAACCTTTGTAAAAATAGTCCAATCAAGCCAATTTTCAAACTTGACCGGCGTACTATGAATAGTCATCAGTTCTGTAAGTTTCAATCCAAAAGGAAAAACATTTTTACACTTATCATGTTATCGGTGTTATAAAAATGCTGAAAAAATTAAAAAAAAAAAAAAAACAGGATAACTTCCATAAAAATTGCCCGATCAGGCTGACTTCCGAACTTGACCTGCGTATTGCGAATATTCATCAGTTTTGTAAGTTTCAAGCCAAAAATAATATGGTTTTCCACCTATTGTGTTATCGGTGCTGCTTATATGCTGAAAAAAAGTGAAAAAACAGCATAACTTCCCTAAAAATAGCTCGATCATGCTGATTTTCGAACTTGACCTGCGTATTATGATTATTCATCAATTCTGTAAGTTTCAAACCAAAAGAAAAAATGTTTTTCCACTTATCGTGTTATCGGTAAAAGTGCACGGCGATGGCGACAGCAACAACGGCGATGACAGACGCAGGTGACAGCTATAGTGCAGTAAACAAGAATTCTCAATATTTTTGTTGAAAATTACAATTTAGGACAAAAGCATGGGGAAAAGTAAAAGTTCAATTCCAAATTTATGAAGTGCGTTCCATGGTGAAAAGTAGGTCAAAAAAGCTCAATAATAAGATCATAGATTGCCAGCATATGACTATTCTATTTCAGTGGTAACTATGGGCGTATCTCTGGCCGTTTTGGAGATACCTGTATAAGGTACATAAAAATTGCAAAGTTAAGTTCATGGTGAAAATGGGGTCAAAGTTCAACTGTTAACTATTATACTAATCTACAAGTAAGATGCAAGATAGTATGGTATGGCAGTTATAGAGAATTCACTGTTCCAGCTATTTTCAGCATATGGGAAAAATGAACCTCCTCCCTTCCTTTGTTAGAAAAAAAGAGGAGTAGGGGTTAGGTCACCCTCAAACAGCATTGGGACGGAAGAGTTGCAAAGTTCAGTTCATGGTGAAAAGTAAGTCAAATGTCAATTTCAAGATCACAGTTAGATTGCTAGTATATTACTTCCTATTCAAGTTCAATAGTAACTATGGGCATATCTCTGCCAGTTTTGAAGATATAAGGGACTAAAAAGTTAATTTATCAACATCAAAGTTGAAACTTAATCTGTAAAATTGTGACCTCTACAGCCGGACAAAAATTTACCGAAACGTACAAACACAAAAGCTCACAGGCAATTGCCACCGCCAAACACAAGCTGGTACTTTGGGAACACTGCCATGGGCATCGCGGGAGGGGCCGTACCAGTGTGAACGGAATGCATGTCTGCCGTAATGTATGTTTTCCTAGGAATGAATGTCTTGCGGACACTAAGTCCTGGGAATGCATGTCGTAGCTCTTCCATTCCTAGGAACGCATATCCTAGGACATAATTTCCTGGGATTTAACGTCCAGTGGACACCCATTACTTAGTATTCTAAGTCCTGCAGACAGGTATCGATGTCCTAGTCGGACATATTTTCCCAGCTAGACCAGTAATAGATGTCCTCTGACATTTTCATATGAATGATGTGTTAAAGGGATAATAACATATGAGGTCTATATTTCACGATAAAAACATTGTGAATAACTCATAGAAATTTTTTTTATTTCCGATCAATATTAAAAATATGAGATTCGCGCCATTCACTGCACCTTGTGAAATATCTCGGCCTCTTCACATTAGATTAATGTTGTTAATCGGCCATTTATATACAACGCTTTGGATTTTGGCTCGTGCCCATTTCTTTGGATTTTGGCTCGTGCCCATTTCTAACCAATATATATAGTGCTTATACACATCACATCACATTATACGTTTCACGGGGTGTTTTTCGGTAAAATACGAGTGTGTGAAATAATACACAGCCACCCTCTCGTGATATACTCACAAGTACATGTTGAACACTTCTCGATGACGTTCGAGCTGTTCTGGTACTGGTATATACATCGTTCGGGTCACAGTTAATTATTTAATACTTGGTGCATTGGGAATATTTGTAGTTAGAGAGACATAATATGCAGTTTGAGACTGTACATGAAACGTGTATAATTGTATGAAAAATAAATTGAATGCGTCTATTATTGTTTATACATGCATTTTTACTATTAGTCTTAACATTCTTCTGAGGGCATGTTTGCCTTACATATGGATCCCGAATTTCCCATTTTAATTATCTGTATTTTTAGGTGAAAGTAGAAAGCATATGCTCTTTTGCGTACAATTATCCAATGAAATTCGGCCACGGCCTCGTATAATCTCCCTCGAGTTATTGAAGGAATTCTAAAATAGCACAACGTTAAAAAATTATATTTAAATCAAACATTTAAAATCTCGCCTCATCAGAATAATCCAAATTGTATAACAACATGTAGTGCGTTTAGTTCGTTGAAATGGAGAATAAATTAGGATAACATTTGCATATAGACTATCATCGCTGCTTAGGATTCGAACTCACTTACGTTTCTCTACGCTGTTGGTTATTCATCCAGCCGTCTTACTGATGAGCCTGTGTGGAAGCTGCTGCCAGCCGACCGAAAATTACCGATACTTATGGCTCCGTGTTTATAATTATTGTACGGACATTAATTATGTAGGACTTGCATTTCTGTGTATATGTGAAAGGAAATTATGTCCGACAGGAATACATGTCCTAGCTGCGTATAAATACAGCTGGGAATCTAGGTCCGGGTAGGACAGTACATCCTAGGGAACGCACGTCCATGGGACATGCATTCCTTTCACACCGGAACCAGCTATAGAAGAAGGACACGGGCGCCGTAGATATCAGGGAGCTGGCCACGCTGATATGTCTGACAATTTTCATTAGAACTACTTAATTGATCAATATTATTTCTTACATATCTGGGCGATTTTGATGTTCATTATGAGTAGGAAGGTAGCAAAATGTGGAAACATTGCATTTATATATTGACTTATTTCTATTATATTATATTATATTATATTATATTATATTATATTATATTATATTGCATTGTTCATAACGTTTACGAGTATATTCAAAGTGTTAACTAGTGCATAAAACTCGAGTCCATGGAAAAATAATCTTAATACCATTATGTAGCATGACAACATAATGGTATTGTATCCATATGCCTCTCGATTTGTGTTCATGGTAAATTTATAACCTCACTAAGGTTTATCTCGCCGCTGAGCGAGAATATTTTTATGAGTAATTTAACTAGTACATTTGTTCAACATATAAAGATATATATTTTTATATAATTTTTCATTCGCAAACACGCAACACAATTACCAACTAGAGAAATGGTAACATACCAATTGTTTTGTCATTAGTATATTATATTGTTCTTAACCTTTTTGAGTATATTCAAATGTGTTGCCAAGTTTATAAGACTCGAGTCGATGGCAAAAATAATCTTAATACCATTATGTAGCATGACTAAAATACGTGATGGAAGAAAACAGTCTGTTCACCCACCAGTGCGGCACCTGACACCTGCATCCTCAAAGTGACGACAGTTGTGTTTCCCCCAACCTCTGTGACCACAATCTTGGATAGAAGCTTCGTTCCCAGAGCAGGCGACGTTATCCATAAGAATGGAACCAGTACCTCGTCCAAAATGAGCGCGGGAAACGGAAACAGAGCCAGTGGGACTAGAATTTGTAAGCCACATTAATAATTTGACATAATCAGATTTAAAAAATGAATAATACTTTTAAGATAAAAATAAGTAGCAAATGAAACATAAAGTAAACAATGCGCTTACTTGTAACCAAGCATTCTGCACACCACACGGGCATCGTTGTTATCCCAGTCGTCATCACAGACAGTGCCCCATTCACCGTTGTAGAACACCTCAACTCTGCCCTCACCTCCACGAGCACCACCCACCAATCTCACTTTAAATACAAAGATTTTCAGATGACGATCGGCAGAAATTTTCATTAGAACTACTTATTTGACCAAACATATTGTTTCTTACAATTCTGGGCGATTAAGGTGTTCATGAGTATGAAAGTAGCAAAATGTGGAAACATTGCTTTTATATATTGACTTTATTATATTATATTATATTATATAATATTGTACTTAACGTTTTCTAGTATGTTCAAAGTGTCACCAAGTGCATAAGACTCGAGTCCATGGCAAAAATAATCTTAATAGCTGTGATTTACAAAATTGTAAGTCTGTGGCAGAATGTCAAGAAAAAGACAGACAGATCACGTGTCACACGGAACAGTCGGCACAGATTTAAAGAGTTATACCCAGACTGATGTTCCTACACAGAGGCCAAACCTAATGTATCGAAATCTTACCGCCAGAATACAGGACTCACTGTCCTTCCGGATATACTACTGCAACTAAAAAAAAACAACCAGTCCGATCAGAATGAGGGGCAAATTGCCACTAAAGCGCACTTTCAAGGGTTTTAGTAAACACCAGAATGGTTTCAGCGAGTTAGAATACCAGACGACCTCTGAGGAAGCCACTGTTAACAGCAAAACAGCGTCGTTTGTTTCTCTAATGAATTGGGAACCATGGCCGTATCTGGGTAGAACACTGAAACCGCGTGGCTCTCTTTACTGAGGTCAGATTTCAACTGTACCACCCAACTAATCGAACTACAGTTTACAGACATCCTGAAAAAGGCTGTGATAAGGCGTGTGCCACGTCTTTAGTGACGGTCACTGACAGCGTCAGCATTTGGAATGGATACCACTATGGTGTCAAAACACCATTGATAGTCATCAATGAAAACCTGAACCAGAACAAATAAAGGAATAATCTAGGAACCACTTGACTATCATTTGATAGGGGGCACCTTCGGAACACCTACACCTTTAGATTGCACTATGAGATTGCCGCTTCACACAGGGCAGTTTTAATCGCAGATAACTTAAAGAACCAAGGGAATGTGCAGCTACATTGAATATCAGAATTGCCATATTTGACACATAAACAATAAACAATATTTGGTTTACTCGCCGAACCAACGGCCTACATGTCCTACAACAAAACTGAACCAAATTGGACAAGTTTTGGTTGTAGCCTGTAATGCTATTCAAGATTAAACTCTGAAAACCAATCTCAAGGATTGCCTTGCCATTTAAGAGCCCTTGTAGCAGCCGGATGAGGTCAGGCGTGACAGCGACCTTTGCTGCCACTAGACACTGACATGAGGGTCCTTTGTGGGGCGTGTAACTCTTTTATATAGGGATAATTTGAACAATATGGAGATCCAAAATATCGCTTTCTATGGTTGTCGTATGACATAGAATAGGCAATGTATCTTTGTTTGCTTCAAGGCGAATTCAGTTTTAACTAATTAAAATTAACTGATGCCACAATGAAACAATTAAAATGATTAAAACACGTTTTTAATCATTATTTTCATCTATCGGTCTGCAATAATAAATGATGAATTATGACTTGGAAAACAAAACTCCATATTAAATGACAAGTGTGAAACCCAACAAAGAAGCTATACATGCTTTGTGAAATGTGTCACTGGCACTTTACAATTGCCTTCATGATTTCAACTAACAATATACCACCGTCTTAGATAATCAAGAAAGTATTTCTATACTGATATATGAGTAACTGTTTATGTAATTGTAGTTCTCCCTCCCTTGTAAGTTTGTACCGATCCTTTTTTGTAACATATGATTGTACCGGTACATATGATTGTATCCATACGCCTCTCGATTTGTGTTCATGGTAAATCTATAATCACACTAAGGTTTATCTCGCCACTGAGAGAAAAGATTTTATGAGTAATTTAAGTAGTACATTTGTTCATTATATAAAGATAGATATTATTATATAATTTTTCATTCGCAAACACGCAACACAATTACCAACTAGAGAAATGGTAACACACCAATTGTTTTGTCATTAGTATATTATATTGTTCTTAACCTTTTTGAGTATATTCAAATGTGTTGCCAAATTTATAAGACTCGAGTCGATGGCAAAAATAATCTTAATACCATTATGTAGCATGACTAAAATACGTGATGGAAGAAAACAGTCTGTTCACCCACCAGTGCGGCACCTGACACCAGCATCCTCAAAGTGACGACAGTTGTGTTTCCCCCAACCTCTGTGACCACAATCTTGGATAGAAGCTTCGTTCCCAGAGCAGGCGACGTTATCCATAAGAATGGAACCAGTACCTCGTCCAAAATGAGCGCGGGAAACGGAAACAGAGCCAGTGGGACTAGAATTTGTAAGCCACATTAATAATTTGACATAATCAGATTTAAAAAATGAATAATACTTTTAAGATAAAAATAAGTAGCAAATGAAACATAAAGTAAACAATGCGCTTACTTGTAACCAAGCATTCTGCAGACCACACGGGCATCGTTGTTATCCCAGTCGTCATCACAGACAGTGCCCCATTCACCGTTGTAGAACACCTCAACTCTGCCCTCACCTCCACGAGCACCACCCACCAATCTCACTTTAACTACAAAGATTTTTAGATGACGATCAACAAAAATATTCATTAGAACTACTTATTTGACCAAGCATATTGTTTCTTACAATTCTGGGTGGTTTTGGTGTTCATGAGTATGAAAGTAGCAAAATGTGGAAACATTGCTTTTATATATTGACTTTACTATATTATATTATATTATATTATATTATATTATATTATATTATAGTGTACTTAACGTTGTCGAGTATGTTCAAAGTGTTACCAAGTGCATAAGACTCGAGTCCATGGCAAAAATAATCTTAATATCTGCGATTTTAAAAATCGTAAATCTGTGGCAGAATGTCAAGAAAAAGACAGACAGATCACGTGTCACACGGAACAGTCGGCACAGATTTAAAGAGTTATACCCAGACTGATGTTCCTACACAGAGCCCACACCTAATGTATCGAAATCTTACCGCCAGAATACAGGACTCACTGTCCTTCCGGATATACTGCTGCAACTAAAAAAAACAACCAGTCCGATCAGAATGAGGGGCAAATTGCCACTAAAGCGCACTTTCAAGGGTTTTAGTAAACACCAGAATGGTTTCAGCGAGTTAGAATACCAGACGACCTCTGAGGAAGCCACTGTTAACAGCAAAACAGCGTCGTTTGTTTCTCTAATGAATTGGGAACCATGGCCGTACCTGGGTAGAACACTGAAACCGCGTGGCTCTCTTTACTGAGGTCAGATTTCACCTTTACCACCCAACTAATCGAACTACAGTTTACAGACATCCTGAAAAAGGCTATGATAAGGCGTGTGCCGCGTCTTTAGTGACAGTCACTGACAGCGTCAGCATTTGGAATGGATACCACTATGGTGTCAAAACACCATTGATAGTCATCAATGAAAACCTGAACCAGATCAAATAAAGGAATAATCTAGGAACCACTTGACTATCATTTGATAGGGGGCACCTTCGGAACACCTACACCTTTAGATTGTACTATGAGATTGCCGCTTCACACAGGGCAGTTTTAATCGCAGATAACTTAAAGAACCAAGGGAATGTGCAGCTACATTGAATATCAGAATTGCCATATTTGACACATAAACAATAAACAATATTTGGGTTACTCGCCGAATCAACGGCCTACATGTCCTACAACAAAACTGAACCAAATTGGACAAGTTTTGGTTGTAGCCTGTAATGCTATTCAAGATTAAACTCTGAAAACCAATCTCAAGGATTGCCTTGCCATTTAAGAGCCCTTGTAGCAGCCGGATGAGGTCAGGCGTGACAGCGACCTTTGCTGCCACTAGACACTGGCATGAGGGCCCTTTGTGGGGCGTGTAAGTCTTTTAAATAGGGATAATTTGAAAAATATGGAGATCAAAAATATCGCTTTCTATGGTTGTCGTATGACTTAGAATAGGCAATGTAACTTTATTTGCTTCAAGGCGAATTCAGTTTTAACTAATTAAAATTAACTGATGCCATAATGAAACAATTTAAAATGATTAAAACACTTTTTTAATCATTATTTTCGTCTATCAATCTGCAAAAAAATAAATAAATAAATAAATAATAATAAAATAAATAAATAAAAATAAATGATGAATTATGACTTGGAAAACAAAACTCCATATTAAATGACAAGTGTGAAACCCAACAAAGAAGCTATACATGCTTTGTGAAATGTGTCACTGGCACTTTACAATTGCCTTCATGATTTCAACTAACAATATACCACCGTCTTAGATAATCAAGAATGTATTTCTATACTGATATATGAGTAACTGTTTATGTAATTGTAGTTCTCCCTCCCTTGTAAGTTTGTACCGATCCTTTTTTGGAACATATGATTGTACCGGTACATATGATTGTATCCATATGCCTCTCGATTTGTGTTCATGGTAAATCTATAATCACACTAAAGTTTATCTCGCCGCTGAGAGAAAAGATTTTATGAGTAATTTAACTAGTACATTTGTTCATTATATAAAGATAGATATTATTATATAATTTTTCATTCGCAAACACGCAACACAGTTACCAACTAGAGAAATGGTAACACACCAATTGTTTTGTCATTAGTATATTATATTGTACAAGGTCATTATAATACATGTGCCAGTACAGAAATAAATTGTATTGAATTGAATTGATATTATTCATGTCATTTTATTTTTATCTGCGGTTCAGCAGTGGCCTCTAAATAAGAAAATGAATTTAATCAAAGACGACATTAGTATTAAAGTTGAAGAAATCGTTGAAATAGAAAGAAGCACATAAGAATAAGATTAATTCCTATATTTCTACATTAAATTTTAGCGCTATATCCACTGCTCTAAAACAAAAAATTCCTAAACATACCCACATGCACCGACCTTCTCAACACAAATGAGTTCCCATATTTTTCATTCTCTGGGAAAAAAAGTATATAAACGTTACACAGGGGTGACAAGGCTTCAATTTTCTTGCTAATCTATAAAAAAGGGTACTCACGTGCACAAGCATCCGTGGCTAACTGTGTCTCTATATTTGACAGCGCACTGAAGTCTGTCACAGTAAACACATATTTACTATCCGGGTCGGTAGCCATGGCCTTCAGCTCGGCAGTATTAACATTACTCCCAACTCCAATTGCGTACACAAACGCAATCTTACGCAGCATGATCGCTTCTCTGACGGTTGCCGCCATGTTATTAGACCTGCCGTCGGTCATGACGATAACGATGTTCGAGACGTTTGGCCGGTCGCCTTTGGCAGTCGTGAAACTGCTGGTGCGGGCGGTGGAGAGGGCTAAAGCTGTGTTAGTACCACCTCTCTTCTGCTTGATCTTGTCGACGGCGGCTAAGATGGCGGCCTCGGTGCTGTGAGTGTTGAGGTTGAACTCCTGCACTGCGTAGTTTGAGTACTGCAGAACGCCGACCTTTACCGCGTTTGGTCCAACGTTGAATTTCCTTACCAAAGACTTGATGAATTGCAGTTGTTTGGCAAAGTCGGGTGTGCTGACACTACCAGATCCGTCCAAGATGAGTGTTATGTCTGCTTGACCCTTGCAGGCTGTAAATATTACAGAGCTATTCATTTTACATTAAAAAGCAAAAAAGATTATATACTATATATGTATATATGCCACCGACGAAGAGATAAATTTTCATCATGATAAATTTAAAGGCTTTTATCTGTTTGGTAAAAACTAGTAAATATTGAAAACGTCGATTGTTTCAAAGATAGTTGTATGTCTTGGACATTGACATTTTTGGTTTTAAAATATATATAATATTTATTCGTAAGGTGGGGAAAATACACGCTATCAAGAATGCATTTCATTGTTATCCATGCCCTTTATTCTCAAAGGTCTGTGCAGCAGTAGCATCTAAACGAGGCAGCAAAGCTGTCAAATGTACAGGCAAAAAGCAGAAAATAAAGATGCAGAAAATAGGTAATTTTGTCAATGTTGATACAATAATAAATAATGCTTATAACAACACAGTCAATCGACACTCAAAGGGATAATACCTCTTCGTATAAGATCTTTATTTCACAACATTGTAAACAACTAATAGAAATAATATGTATATATCACAAATACGGCAGTTATAGCTATTAGTCTACTATCTGAGCTTGTCATCGGACCACGTGACATCCACAGATGGCTATACTCTGTTATAATCTCTTAAGAGATTATTACCAAACAAAAAACAAAAAAACAGTGACTAAATTTGAATGTAGAAATGGATTCATTAACCATCGTTAAGTATGGGAAAATTGTTGTTTACTCAAGGGAAATTCATTTTTGGTCAAAACAAACAGTTATTATCCCTTTAAATTTAATCATGCACAACAGGTAATACTACAGTTTTAGGAGCATATGTAAGAGCCCAAATTCACATGATGAAAATCTCAATATGTGAAAAATGATGACAGTGCATAAAATAATATTACATAATGTTTAAAGACATAAAAACCAATACAATTGCTCATGTGGAAATACAGAAAATGCACTGAGCTTCTGTTGGATGGGAGTTAAAAGTCACATCTTGAAGATGCTAGTGTCTAAAACATAATTTTAAAAACTCTTTTTAAATAAACCAATAAAGCTGCTATTCATACTTTTAATCTAGTTGTATCAACATAATGTGAATAACCCCATTGAGTTTGAGAATAATAAGGCATTGTTCATCTATATCATTAATGTTAACATAACACATTTTTTTCTTTTGTAAACTTATTTGCAATATTAAACAACATTTCCCTGCAACATTATCACCGATTCCTAATTTTGTGACACAGTTAAGAGAGCTTAACCTATGGGACTTGACAATGAAATATCAACGTGTGTTTTATGTAATCTCATGTAATGGCCACTTGAAAATTAATTAGGCAAATGATTTAATTAGACTAAATAGCCCTGAATTTAGCTTGTGATTACCCAAGGGACAATTGCATACTGACCCCCATACATATACAGTAGCACAATATATCACTCTATAAAACTGCATTGCTTCCAAAACAGAAAACAATCACAATGATTTTCCAACACAAGTTGCACTTCACTCCTATGCAACTTTTCAGTAACTGCCATAAATAACATGGTTTTCCATTGATGGTCATCCTGGCAGCAGTGTTCAAAATAGGATTTTCTTCAACTCTTATGCAATATAACATAATGCCTAACAGCATAATGACCATCAATGTTTAATAATAAAGTAAAAGTATCATGGATATTCAGAAAATGTGACTAGCAAAGGTCTTTAAGCCAATGGAAGTTCAAAGTAACACCTTCACAGTGTCGATATGTGAAAATTTTAATTCTAACAAAAAACTATATAATTTCCAGAAAAGTTAACCGATCAGAAAGGTTTTCCAACTGAAGCCATAATTTAGTCCTATGCTACTTTTCTGTAAGTCTGAGAAGAGTAAGTGACATGGTTTTCCCTTAATGGTCACTATGGAGTGTCTTTCAATTTCGAAGCAAAAATTATATAATGCTTAACAGCCAAATGACCACCAATTTTGAATAATATAATAAAAGTATCATGAATATTCAGAAAATATGACATGGAAAGGTCTTCAAGGCCATGGAAATTCAGAGTTACATCTTCAAAAGGCCAAAATGTAAACAAGAGATACCTGTACTGAAATAATTTTCTTTCCATATTCAACACCTTTTTTATATAAAACACAATAATCAATTTACTGTCATTTTTGAATTATCAACTAAGAACATTGTTGACATAGGACAAATATCAATGGAACAATTTCAAATGTCCAATTTGCTCCATTTTGAGATTCTGAACATGATAATGATTGAATCTGACAAATTGTAAAGATATGAGTTTAATTTTATTTTGACACTTTATTACACAATACACAATACCAGGTTTACTATCATTTTTATATAATCAACTACCAATATCCTTAAGATGCAGAAAATGTCAAAAGAACACCTTTAAATATCTAATTAGTTCAAAAATGAGACTGTTAACAGTCCAAAGGAAAACGGTTTTCCACTTATCGTGTTATCGGTGTTGCATAAATGCTGAAAAAAGTGAAAAAAACAGCATAACTTTTATAAAAACCGCCTGATCATGCTGATCTTCGAACTTGACCTGCGTATAGTGAATTTTTTATCAGTTCCGTAAGTTTCAATCCAAAAGGAAAAACGGATTTCCACTTATCGTGTTATCGGTATAGCATAAATCCTTTTATAAAGAAATAGGCCTGATCATTCCGATTTTTGAACTTGACCTGCGTATTATGAATATTCATCAGTTCTGTAAGTTTCAATCCAAAAGGAAAAACTGTTTTTCACTTATCGTGTTATCGGTGTTGCATATATGATGAAAAAAGTTTTAAAAAAACAGCATAAACTCCATAAAAATGGCCCAATCATGCTGATTTTCGAACTTGACCTTCATATTATGAATATTCATTAGTTCAGTTATTTTCAAGCCAAAAGAAAAAAAACGGTTTTCCACTTATCGTGGTATCGGTAAAAGTGCACGGCGACGACGGCGACAGCGACAGCGACGACAGACGCAGGTGACGGCTATACGTACAGACACATCTGTGTCTGTACATAAAAAGAAAATAAATTTGAAGAAATTGTTCAAATACAAAAAAAAAAAAAAAAACAAATAAGAATACAATTCATTCCTATAATTCTACATTAAATTTTAGCGCCAGCCACCCCTAAAAGAGCTGCTCTAAAACAACAAATCCCCAAACAGACACACATGCACCGACCTCCTTAAGTGGGAGGTAGATCAAATAATGACCATTTTACAGTTAAGGGCCGCTTCACATCTCCCCCTTCAAAGGTTGTGTTATTTCATGCCGTCATAGCGGGCAGTCAGGGATATGACCCCATTCCCAGAGATTAGATCGATCTACTTTAGATCGACATAACTCCCTGGGGGTTCACGCTAAATAGCTTTCAGCCGAGAGGGCGCGAAAGATACCCCCTTACAGCTTTTAGTGGGCGGGACGGACATTTAAGCTGGATTATCTGACAGTAATCTAGTGAGACTCCCCGCGGGGATAGGTCGATCTAAAAGCTCTGGGAATACGCCCATATGAGGCTTAATTAATTCAGAGCGCTATCGGCACAAGACTGACTGTCTTTCCAGCAGTGTATGTACGACATATTGAGGTGAGAGGTAAGATATGAAAACTCCCGCATCGCGGCCGTCAAACTACAGATATGAGTTGCCATATTTTTCATTCTCTGGGAATATAGTATATAAACGTTAAACAGGGGTGACAACGCTTCACTTTTCTTGCTAATCTATAAAAAAGGGTACTCACGTGCACAAGCATCCGTGGCTAACTTTGTCTCTATATTTGACAGCGCACTGAAGTCTGTCACAGTAAACACATATTTACTATCCGGGTCGGTAGCCATGGCCTTCAGCTCGGCAGTATTAACATTACTCCCAACTCCAATTGCGAACACAGACGCAATCTTACGCAGCATGTTTGCTTCTCTGGCGGTTGCCACCATGTTATTAGACCTGCCGTCGGTCATGACGATAACGATGTTCGAGACGTTTGGCCGGTCGCCTTTGGCAGTCGTGAAACTGCTGGTGCGGGCGGTGGAGAGGGCTAAAGCTGTGTTAGTACCACCTCTCTTCTGCTTGATCTTGTCGACGGCGGCTAAGATGGCGGCCTCGGTGCTGTGAGTGTTGAGGTTGAACTCCTGCACTGCGTAGTTTGAGTACTGCAGAACGCCGACCTTTACCGCGTTTGGTCCAACGTCGAATTTCCTCACCAAAGACTTGATGAATTGTAGTTGTTTGGCAAAGTCGGGTGCGCTGACGCTACCAGATCCGTCCAAGATAAATATTATGTCTGCCTGGCCCTTACAAACTGCAGATATGAATAAAGTTTATTGTTTTTATTAAAACATAAAACAAATAATGAAAGAGATTAAAAGAACTACGAAAAGGTGAGTCACGTAAGCTGGTTGGAGGTTGAGTTAGGTGCCGCCAGAATGTAAGCTTACTACGTAATGTCACAGATGTGTTTGTCCATATTTCCTGTCGCGTTACCATGGAAATAACATCGTCGTCCATATGGTGCTTGCTATATTTTAACAACAGGTCCCAACCCAAAGCCGTTGGGGAATCATCTTACCAGGCTATCAGCTGGCAAATAGAACCAACCCCTCTCTCACGTGTTGCAAAATTAAGTGATCGTCCAAGCATGTATTGACTTTGGTTGCGTTTGACGCCAAAGGCTGTGCGTTTAATGCAATCTTGCTATGGAATTGATTGGATTGGAATGAAAGAGGATATAAAGAATAACACTTTCTTATTCCATTTATACCATTGGACAGTTTCGCTTACAGTATTACCTCCGCCAAGGAGGTTATGTTTTTGGTTCCGTTAGTTTGTTTGTCTATCTGTCTGTCTGTGTGTCTGTTAGCAACATTACAGAAAAAGTAATGGACCGATTTTGATGAAATTTTCAGGAACTGTCAGAAGGGGGCCAAGGAACAGATGATTAGTTTTTTGGTGGTGATCCGGATCATTAATCAATCAATAGTCAATAATCAAAAATAAAAAAAAACTAAATCATTATAGAATGAAAAGGATGAGTGCAAATAAGGGGGTAAAAGTGCCCCATGAAAAATAAATTGTGAATGAATGGGAAAAAATTGATGCCAAATTAAAGTTGGGGTCTTACACTTTTATGATCCACTTATTTTTATTTATTTATTTATTTATTTATTTATTTATTTATTTATTTTTTTTTGAATTTGAAATATAAAAAATTAAGGTCAAAATGAACTTGTCAAATATTCATGAAAATATGTGTTTAGGGGGGTTCTGAAGAACAATGCTACATATCTATAGTAATAGTAAGGTGACAACTGTGAAATTTTGTAATTGGGTACAGAAGGTGCCCGTGTAAAAAAGAAAGGCAAAAGGTGGCCAATCATTGTTTGTGATCAATAATTTGATTGCTTTATTCGTACATGTAGTGCTGATTGAAAGAAGAATCTCACCGTGGCTTGAGGTTAAAAGATGTTCATTTTTTATATGAGCCCCTGCCTCAGACAAGCTAATTTTTCACAGTTGAAAAGACATGAATATAAAGTGAGATATATGTGAAAATCAGCTTGTCTGAGGGTTGGGCTTGATATGTACTCAAACTAAATAGGGACATTTTCAGTCCATGTGCTAGCAGTCGGCCATGTTTATTCCTGCCACGAGGTAGCAGCTACATGCTTACATAGGATGGCTAGGCAGATACAGTGAATATTTTGTACAAAAAGATCACCCCCCCAAAAAAAAAAAAATGTAGGCCTTTGAAAGGAAAATAGGGGTTAGAGTCAGTAAAATAGTTTCAATTGTAACCAAAATAAGAAAAGTAACTTTCATGTAATGCACGCTATCAAAATAATAATAATAATAATGGAGAGGAAACAGAGTCCAAATACAGTAAGTATATATTATTTCCATTCTTATTCCTTAGGATTAAGAAAGATTAAATGGAAAATGTGCTTCAGATATTCAAAGTTATATTCATTATCATAATAGCAGATGTGCATTGTGGTGGCTCCTACTTTACATAGAGACCCAAGCTGTAATAGACCTCTTCACATAAGGGTGGCTTGACCCAACCCTTCTAATGGGCATGAAAGTACATTTTGTACAACCAAAATTGTTGTGTAAATATCCCCTTTTACGTCTATTTTGCATAAAAAGTAAAATAAAAGGCTCCGTCACACACACCCTAGTTTTGTTACTTATGACCTCATCTTCTACACCAGCACTATTCATAATAGCTTTGTAGATTTTTTTCTTTTATTTATCAACAAAATGCTGTGAATGGCTTCATTTGTCAAGGAGATCAGTGAAAACCTATTGACTTGGTAAATAGTACAAACAAGACACCAACAGCCCATAATAGATTACCAGAGGTTTACCAGATAAAGCAAGCTAGCCAATATACTGATGAGCATCTGCTAGATGGCCAGTTTGAAATCAGTGTATGCAAGGATGTACCTGATTTAATCAGAGCCAAAATAATTAATTAAGACACACCTTTAGCCACCAGTACACATTATGGATACAGACCTCCCATAGCAAAACTAGACCCATTAGTGGCTGGTACTGCCAGTGTAAAGCAGGTTCGAAGACAGTTGGAAGTTGTGCACATATCCCTTCAGTCCTGTGGTGTATGGGGTTTGCCATGAGGCAGGGATACAATTGAAAATTATGTTGTGGAGAAGGCTGTTTGGAGTGTATTGGTTAACAATACAATTATTTAACCAACAAATGCTGGTCTGTGAGAAAAGTTATATAAAATTAGTAAATACACTGAAACAAGTGTTCCTAGTTACAAGACTTTTATACAGTAAAGTGAAATCAGTGATGGCTTCTGTGAGAAAATACTGTAATACACCACCCCTCCCTCTCTTCTCTAGGATTAAAAAAAAACAATTACTTTCCCATTTGCTTGTACCAAGTTTCATTAGAAAAAAACATTTATGTAATATAAAAAAGGTATATATATATATATATATATATATATATATATATATATATATATATATATATGCTGAAAAGGTATATATATATGCTGAAACAAGTTGCTCTGATTCATTAGACTGCATACAACAGGTAAATCTGGCTACCCCCCCCCCCACACACACACAAACACACATAAAACTCATTAAAATATTAAGTTACGATGCCTCAAACCAAATCATATTTTTCCATGCAACAAATATATGCATAAACTTTATAATAACAAATTATTTTAAAATTTTGACAATGGGCACTTTGCCAATGGTTATCAGCACTCATCCTTTAGGGGCGAAACGGCATTGGGTGAAGACTTTGCTGCCTTGGCGGAGGTCTGCGCTCTCGGAGTGCTTTTCTTGTTCAAAGATGTCAATCTTTGTCCGCCAAACCCGACCAATAGTTACAAGTAGTATTGTATAACTGCACGAAATACCAAAGTTCCCCAAATTATTATACTTGAACGGATATTTCTGGTTTCTTTTTGTGCTATAAATATCCAACAGCACAGGAATGCAACTACCAGTAACTTTAAGTACTTATGTAAAGTCGGGAAAACTATGTGGTCCATGATGTTGTTCACGTTGCTTTGGTTTATGATTCGCTTACGCTCAAGCTGTTCTGACATATATATTACCTCAGACAGTGAAGTATTTAAAGTTTTCGATGTGCTTTGTTTTCAAAATTTGTGATTATGAGACAAAATTGTCTTTAACTTAGTGTTCAGGTCACCAAACGGCTTCAAACTGGGAAAATTGCCCCCGCCTTTGGTAACCCGCACGAAAACGAAGTAGATACTCCAGCGCAGTAGCCTACTGCAATCTTACTGCAAACATGCTTCAAATCTGCTTCGATTGGGGGGCTAATTAGCATATTTGAAACATGCTTCTATCATGCTGCTAATCTACTACATTAATGCTCCTCCCCTGTACAACCCTATGTAATTTTTGAAGTAGAATTGCAGTAGGCTCTACTGCATTTCTGCTGCAAATATGCTCCACACCACTACTACGTTAATGCTTCTTTGCTACTTCGATACTACTGCATTTTCATGCGGGAAGCTTCGTTTTAAACATATTCAGTTCGATACTCGTAAAATATAAAAAGGTATATTGAACTTGTACGTTAAATTGTACTAAGTGCCACTTTACTGATTTGCTTTACGATGTAAAAAAAAAAACAATTCACACAAATACATTTTGTGTTCTGTTGAACATGAAATCGGTACTTCAAAATTGCCTTCTTGATTTCTGCAAAGTAATTCTAATGAAAAAACGACAACAGCTCTAGTGAATGCACCATGTCAAGTAGGGGTGAATTGCCCGTTATCTGATCATTTTGAAGACTTATCTGTTCGGTAAATAAATATTGATAACGCAATCGTTGATTCATTTCTAACAAGATAATTGTATTTGGAGATAGACATTTATGGATTAATATCCCTCTCTCTCTCTCTCTCTCTCTCTCTCTCTATATATATATATATATATATAATATATATATATATATATATATATATATATATATATATATATATATATATATATATATACACACTGGACAATAGAAGTGTCCCCCCTACTGAATCAATACTAAGGGGGAGATAAATGACTGTGGAATGATATGCTCCTGGTATCATTTTATCAACATCAAATTTCACAAAAAAAATCACAAAATGAGAACAAAATATACATTCTACCAAAATATGCAGTTTCAAGTCCAAAATTAGTACTTAGTGGCATGGCCACGTGACCTAATAATAGGTGCCAGTCTACGAGGCAAGGATTCATATAATTGTCTAATGCCTTCAGGGCTTATGCTGGCCCAAGCATGAAACACTGAATATAATAGAGTTTCTCTGCTGGTTAGACGGGCATTTGTCAAAAGTTTTGACATATCATTCCACACATTTTCTATTATGTTTGCATCCGGACTCTGGGCAGGCCACATCACCCTACGAATGTCCTGTTGGTCAAACCAATCATCAACTGCTCTGGGCCTGTGACAAGGAGCATTGTCATCCTGGTGAACAAATGGATAATTCCTGTCACCAATGATGTAAGTAATAGATGGTAGCAAACCTGACTCCAAAAGAGCGATATATTTCTACTGATTCATGTTTCCATCAACCACTATCAATTCGCCCACGCCAAAGATGCTGATGCAGCCTCACACCATGATAAATATGCTGCTCCGGGTTCGAAAATTCAGTGCATGTGGTTCAAATGCTTAACCAGCAGTTCGACAGCATCGTACCCGTCTGTCATCAGACGTCAGACCAAAGCGACACTCATCAGAAAAAATATATAGGACCAATTGTCATGGACTGTCCAGTTCCAGTTCCTGTTGATCCCAGTTCACTCTAAGTTGCCTGTTTTGTAACGATAAAAGAGGTTTCAGTCTTGCTACCCTGCTGCACACTCTCTGAGCATGTAACCGACGCCTAGCAATTTTCACAGACACATTCTTATGTGTGAAATTGTTCCACTGTGTTGTCAACTGACAAGCAGCGTCGAACTTTGACAACCTGGACATCAAAATTAGTCGTCGGTCGTCACGGACGGTAGTTTTTCTTGGACGACCCATCAGAGGCAATTTGTCTCTTGATCCAGTGTTTCTATACCCAGACCAGACCCTCTGCACGGTTCCGACTGAACAATTCAATTGTATCGATATTCTGACATTGCCTATATTCCGCCTCTTCAGGTTAATAACTTGACGCCTATAACCGTTAGATAATTGCCTGGATCTTGCCATATTGGAGAAAGACAGGAATAACATTTGCTGTACATGTACAAGACCAACAGTACAATTCCATGGTATAGCGGTTTAATACTCATTAGTCCCATTATAAGTAGACCAGGCATAATAACTACCCAAGATCTGCCTACTTTTATTATTCTGATTTAGGGGGTGACACTTCTATTGTCCAGTGTATCTATCTATCTATCTATCTCTCTCTCTCTCTCTCTCTCTCTCTCTCTCTCTATATATCTATATATATATATATATATATATATATATATATATATGGCAGGGAAATACAGACGTTATACAATTCCTGCTGTTCTTACCTGCAGATGTGGCAGTAGCCCCTACAAACTAAAAAAATTACTAACAACGACAATGTTATCTGCGAAATGGGGGAATTGTTCAAATTAAAAGACGTAGATAAGCACGCGGTTCTTTCCTATATATCTTTTATTTGTGCTAGCCACCCTTCTCCAGAGTGGGTACTTATTTCAAGGTGCCAAACTCACAGTTATGATTTTGTATGAACATAACATAAACTTGGTCGCGGTCTCTAGGGTCATGGCCATAAATATTATAAGACAAAATTTAAATGTAACCTTTATTTGTTACTACTTTATGTATCACTGACCTTTTGGTGCAACCATTCTCTTGACTTTTGCTGTGGCGATTCCCAATGTGTCAGCGAGATTTGACACCAACGCATCGGCCACCTGTTCTTGTTGCAGCTCTTCCTTGCTCTGCATTTCCACGCCTGTTTCGTAGAACTTCTTTTCCAATCCGTCTACCTATACCAATTGATTAAAATGATTCACGTTAAAGTCAGTAAATTATTTGAATTAATAACCTTTGCATTTTCTTTTTGATTTTATTATATTATTTCAATCCATTCGGCAAAATAAATATCCATTAATAGGCCCTTTTCGCTCTGTGTAACTGGGGAAGAAGATCATACTTTCCGTGGACTATTAGATTTTCATCTTGGTTAGAAGCAGGCGAATGTTCATTTCATACTAAATTGTTTGTTGAAACCGCGCTTAAGGGTGAACGTCATCTAAAATAACAATTGGTACTTTCCAATCTTTCCACTTTCAATAAGGTTTTTAAAATATGTTTGTTATACTGATAAATTGGTGTACAAATATATATGCTGATATTCTGTGTTTTAACAAAAGTGTTAAGCCCATTCAAATATTTCAAGTGCTTAGGTAATCTCAGGAACAGACATGTAAAAACAGCAAATCAATTGAAAATTAATTAATACTTTACTAGCATAGACATTGATAAAAATCCCACTCATCTATATTCAGGAAAAAAACATCGAAAATCCACGGTATATATAAAGTAAAGGGGGCTCCCTACATAAGTGTTGAACAGTTTGTTAGTACTCGAACTAACCTTTTCTTTGATCTTCCTATCAACGGTACCTGTGCCTGTATCCAGTGACGGTAGGTCTCTAAGAATTGGGATCTTGCTTTGCCTGCTGATGACGCCATGTCCACAAACAGAACTATGCTCAATAAGAACCAACAGGAACGACCATGCTAATAAACATAATGTAGCCATTCTTTAACCGTATGCACCAACAAATAAGTGTTGTTTACAACGCTGTGAAAAACTGTACGCATACGTGGAAGATCTACGCAGGCATTCTCTTATATAATAGTTATGGGAGGGGTTTGATCTTATTTCTTAGGTACTTGTCGTAATTGTATTTGGTGGCGTTGAACATGTGATCGAAAGTAGGCATTACCTTCATTATCTTCACCGTATCTTAGATGACGTAGTTTCTGAACCAGTTGACAGTGTCAACACTGGTAGAAAATTTCGGTTTAACAAACTGAATTTACGTTGGTAGATTTCTGCGTTTGTTGTGAATCATGTTGCTGTAACGGGTTAAAGACGAACACAACTGAAATATATTATTTATCCCGGGGAACCTGGCTATGAAATGTTTTACTGGAAGTGACAGATGTATACAGGTAAAAGAGAAGTTTCCAGTAATCTCTTTTACTCGTGGTGNAAAATTTAGGTTTAACAAACTGAATTTACGTTGGTAGATTTCTGCGTTTGTTGTGAATCATGTTGCTGTAACGGGTTAAAGACGAACACAACTGAAATATATTATTTATCCCGGGGAACCTGGCTATGAAATGTTTTACTGGAAGTGACAGATGTATACAGGTAAAAGAGAAGTTTCCAGTAATCTCTTTTACTCGTGGTGGCTCACTGTCCTTACAACCAGTGACATGTGTTTGTCTGTGCGATTCAAAGTAATCTGATTTTTTTATCTTAAACGAGGGCTATTCTCGGAAATCACTTGCTAGCAAAGTTACTAATTTGACAGTTGGTTATGGGACATGTTAAGTCCTAAATTTGAGGAAATCACATTTTAAAAACATGGCATGGTCTTTGACCCCAGGGGAAGTTGTGATGCTGTTCCTTGACGCTTATATACTCAAGATTCGCCTCTACCGTTGATTTGAAATTACCTAAAAATATGCCCGACACCGAAATGTTTAAAAAAATATAAACCAACTTGTTTAAAAAAGCTTGTCAATCAACTCATCATTTATATCTGGTCTTATATATCAAAACAGTCAGCGGAAACCGGGAAACTCACATCTCTGTATTTCCTAGGTACTTCTGAAACTCGGGATGTGAAGCAGAGGAGGAGAACTCAATTATTTAAATAATTAATAGTATGACAAGGTGGCAATAGGTTTATCTTACTCCAAAATGATTAAAATAGAAGGTTAAGATATTGGTCTTACATACCCTTTGTTGAAAATAATGCGTCCCTCATTTAATCTTTTATTTCATATAATTGAGTTGGGAACTGAGAATTTGATATTCGTACTTAAAGGCACTAGTTTCATTATTTAAAAGTTATGTTTTGCATTTAGATTTTCTCTTAAGAGTGTATAAATTTAAAACGTGAAGGATGTATCGTACACAAACATTAAATATGCCCATCATTTGTTTGCTTTCAATTACGAAATATGAGATGACTTGTTTAAACAGGCTCCTTTCTAGGAAACCGAGTGTTTGTATTTATTTTATCATGGGTAGAATTACCCGACATCTATAGAAATTTCTTTCCACTTAGAGTAAAAAGAATAAAGGACGCGATTAATCGGTCGTATTTCATTTAATACAAAAATTGCTAAGGTGATCTTCATACTGCATGGATGGAAAAAACTATATTTATTCAAAGCTGGTAACTGTGCAGTTAAGAGGGGTGGGGGAGGAAATAGAACATTGTATTAGACTGCCCATTTGACAATAATTAGACAACAGAAAATTTATCTGCATGGAATGTCATTTCACTTAGCTTCATAGGGTATTTTTCAAGAACTAATTAAGGTTAGCAAATAAACCGTATTTTAACACCCCCTGTCGATCTGTTGGACTCTACAGAGATGACCTCGTCCACTCCGGCGTCAAAGCCTGTTATCCTGAATTTCAGAGGTCACCAAAAACGATGTCAAAACACACGTCCTCGGAGGCCCAGCTCTGAATCGTGTTATTTTGGTAAAGTGGAATCTAACTAGGGCATAAGCCGACCACCCCTAACACACATGCTGCAACCAGTCCACCCTACCCCCGACATGCGAGATGCCTCTATCGTGCCAATCACGAAATGCCCTTTTCAGGGCACCCTATGTATATTGGTATCTATAAATCTCATACTACATGTATGTAGGCGAGACACCTGGACAGTACTCCTGAGCTTGGGGGCAAGTCTTCTTAACTGTCGAATAATAATAGCAGCTATCAGCGAGTTTTACAAAACCAACTGGACATACTGAAAATGAGAAAGCACAATTTTGCAGTGCACAGAAGTAGTAGTAATTTTAAAAGTAATTTTAAAATTAAAGTATTCACCGACATTTTTTGTGCCCAACAGCGACATTTCAGGTGACATCCCCATCGTAAGCAAATGAACGCAGACAGTAAACAAAATAGACTGCTTGGTACAGTTACGTGCTTGCGCGCACCCTAAACAAGCATGCCCCCCTCTCTCACATACATGCATGAGTGCATTCTCTCAAACATACATAAGGGGGCATTTGTTCATTATCATATTTGTTAAGGCATTACGCAGTCCTTACCTTTTACTACAGATGATTTTTCTTCTAATCTTTTAATTTTCTCCAAGGCGATTTCCAGGGTGTGAGTGAGATTTGAAACCGAGGTATCACATTTCATTTGTTGAAGCTTTATCTTGTTCAGAACTTCCAAATCATTTTTTCCAATTCTGCTACCTAGCCATCGGTCAAAGAAACCACATAACACAAATTCATGATTTTATTTTGGGGAACCTGTCTTCGAGCAGCTCAAAATGCTAATACTACATGGACTCCCTTTCACAGGCCCCAACGTGAATATCTTCCTGTTCAATGTTTTATTACAATCTGTTGGAACTACGTAGGTCTGTATAAGCCAAATATAAAATTTACAGCCTCCTTAAATTTATTTGGAATATTAAAGGATGTCTTTCCGCNTTTAACATATCTTATTAGTTCAGTAATGAGACTATTAACATGCCTAAGAATTGAATCAGAGAAAAGGTGAAAAAAAGCATAATTTCCCCAAAAATGACCCAATCATGCTGATTTTCGAACTTGACCTGCGTATTATAAATATTCATCAGTTCTGTAAGTTTCAAACCAAAAGGTAAAATGGTTTTCCACTTATCGTGTTTACGGTGTTGCATATATGATGAAAAAAGTGAAAAAAAAAGCAAAACTTCCCTAAAAATGACCCGATCATGCTGATTTTCAAACTTGACCTGAATATTATGAATATTCATCAGTTCTGTAAGTTTCAAGTCAAAACGTAAAACCGTTTTCCACTTATCGTGTTTACGGTAAAAGTGCACGCCAACAGCAACGGCAACGGCGACGACAGACGCAGGTGACGGCTATATGTACAGACACATCTGTGTCTGTACATAAAAAGGACACCACCCTCAGTATTGCACTTGACAAGTTCTACAAAATGCAAACAACCGTGGGTCTACAGCATTTACAGTTTGAAAATTAGGGAGAGTTTTCAGTTTTGCCATTAGATTTTCTAATGGCTGCGTCTCCCGTGAAAATGCACTGATTGACCCCAAACTCTAGAAAATGAAAGAAGTCCCAAATTGTAACCCCCCACTGTAATATGTGAGCTTAGGTCTGTGAAGTTTCTGAAAATTGGCACAAACAAATATTTTTTTATGCAAAAAATTCCTATTTTTAGAAAAAATTTTCCTGTTTGACCTTGAAATAAAGGTCAAAGGTCAAATCCAAGGGCATATTTGGAATCTTCACATATGACTTTTGATCAGCCCTCTGTAGAAAATTTTCCCATAATTCCTTCGGTTTAGGAGATATTTGGCATTGAATTTTCAAAAATTTTGACAAGGGTGCATTTCAAGGAGCGCCACGCCCAGGCCATTGCACCGACTGAGACAAAAAAACCAGGGGGTTCAAGTTGAGATTATATGTGATCTAAATCCAAGAGATGGGGACACAGGTCCTTTCGGTCTAGGAGGAGAAGCGGTAACGGTGACTTGTATCCGGCGCCAGAACGCGGAGCCGGCGGAGCAGACGGAGCCGCAGGAGCCGTACGAGACAGGTCGGGACTAAAACCATGAGTACCGCCAGCGTACACGCTGGTGGTACTAATTACGGCATCAAGCACTGTTGACATAATAGGCTACACTCCGTCGTAAATATTTCCAAGCCATTCGTTGATTTTTGGACTATTTTAACCGACGAGAAGTTAAATGAATTCTTTAAATGTTTAAGTGCACAAACCTGTTCACGAACAATGAAGGGAGAGAGTTTTAACTAACGTGCATCTGTAAACGACTTACTTCGAACTCCACCGCGCCATATTTGTTTCTCCTAGTGTACGAGTGCTATTTTAGGCAACGCACTCTGATTGGCTTAAACCTTGCGGTAGTCGTCTTCTCTTTTTTGGGGAGAGGACGTTCTCCAATACAGACTCGAATGTGAAATAATTAATTATTTTGATTGCCGTCTACCTCAAAGGCGAATTTTGGTTTAGATCGTGACCTTCATATATAAGAAAAAGTTTGGGATATGTTTTATTTTCCCTCATATCGGAAAGACCCCCTTTAACTATCTTCTATAATGGAACCTGAGTGTACTTGGTGCTATGGTTCCTTACAGGCATGATGTAGAGAGGAAGATCCTCAATGTCATTTTTATCCAAATGTTCAAAGTTGAGTAAAGGAAAATGTTGATATGTATAACTTATGTGCAGTTCGTTTGTGATATAGTGATGTCAGGTGACCTGAGTTAGCTGACCTTGTTTAATAGGTAAAGGTGACCCATTTAAGCACTACTTAATATCCCAAATACAGATCACGTATTTCGAATTTGGTGACCTTGGCTGACCATTCTCTTATTTCTTTTTCTCACACTAAACTTGAGCATGCAGACAGATGGAGAGAGAGAGAGAGAGAGAGAGAGAGAGAGAGAGAGAGAGAGAACTCATCTACAGATCTCATACAATTGAGCTCGGAGCTGAGAATTTGGTGATTTAAAAGCTGTATTTGCATTTCAATTTTTTTCTTAAAAGGGAATTATTAACAACATGTGCACATTGCATGGTACACAAACACAATAACAAAAACAACATATGTCCTTCGTTTGTTTGTTTTCTATTGCGAAATACGAGATGGCTTGTTTAAACAGGCTCCTTTCTGGGAAATCGAGTGTTTGTAATTATTTTATCAAGGGTAGAATTACCCGATATCTATAGAAATGTCTTTCAACTTGGAGTGAAATAAAAGAAGCCTTTATTCGGCCGTATCTATAGAATATTGAAAATGTTAACGTTATCTTCATACTGCTTGGGTGGAAAAAAAACTATGGTTATTCAAAGCTTGTAACTGTTCAGTAAGAGGGGGAAATGGAAATAGAAGCAGCCACTTGCACAGGGTTCATACTTAATGTGGAATATTATTTTTTGGGAGTTTCTACAGAATATTTATTTTCTCTCTCACTATTTTAAATCCGAAACTGAGGTGTCACTCCATGTGTAGCCAGGTGTGTTAACTAATTACCACACGACTCTCGAAACAACTGATGCACGCAAATGCATATTCTGTGATCGGAAATGTGAGAGGTGGTATTTTCGGCAATTTCTGCCCTTGTATAAAAACGCATGGGCTTGGTCTTTGGAGTGTATTTCAAGAAGAAACAAAGGGATCGCCTTGAAACTTGACAGGTACATTAGAGAAGATATGTTTCGACAGCTAAGCAACGCAGCTTACTATGGGATTCTTGCTCTCAGAGAAAATGACCAGAAACGGGCAGCCATTGCCAGGCAATTCAGCATTTATCAGAGAACCGTTGTAAAGTCCTCCAAAGAAATGCTACAAAAGGTGCACCTACTCCAGTACCTCGACCAGGATGTCCGCGTATCACAACAAGAAGACAGGATCGCCTTATCCTTAGACTGCGCCGTGCTGGTCGTACAACAAGAACCTGTTTTCTCAGAAAAGAGTGGCAGAATGTCATTCAAACGCCCGTTTCAATGTCCCTCGTGAACAAGAGATTACTGGAAGCCGGTTATTTTGCACGAAGACCAGTACGGAGAGCACTGTTTACAGCAGGTCATATACAGCAATGTCTGCAGTGGGATTGGGACAACGTGCGTTTGCAGCCAAACCACTGGCATCACGTCATTTTCAGTTTCAGTGATGCATATAGAGAGTTTTTAGGATTGACTGTCGAATCTGTGTCCGCCAGCATGTGCGAGAGGCTGATCGTGTACTGCCTGGGGTGCAAGTAGGGGGTGGTAACGTCTCTGTTTGGGGAGCATTTCATGCTGGTGCACAAAACCAGTTGGTTTTTTAGGAGGCAACCTCAACCAGGATTCCTATAGAGACATTCTACAGCAAACAATGCTTCGATTTGTAAGAGTCATCTTCGGGAACAACTTTGTGCACCAAAACGACTGCGCAACCCCACATCGAGCTCACAGAATCACAGATTTTCTTCAAAACCAATGGGCTCAGCAACTGCCCTGGCCTGCAAACTCCCCAGATATGAACCAATTGAAAATCTGTGGGCGGAATTAACTCACAGAACTAATAGCTATGGTCATCTGCCGGTAAATAGAGATGAACTGCGACAGGCAAGTATCACTGCGTGGAATGATATCCCCATCCAAACTATGAAAAACTTGTCACAGGGTATGCTATGTAGGGTGAGGGCGTTGTAAGCAGCTGCTGGAGGTCATGTCCGCTGTTGATTACTTTTCATGATTACCTGTGATGAGCTCTTTGCCTGTGTAGCATATCACTATCCGGAGGCTATTTTCTTTTCTTTAATATATTAGCTTGAAGTTAATACTGACATCAAACTGTTGATATGGTTTTCTGGAGGTATTCTTTCCTTTTGAATGACATATCTTATGTCAGATTTGATATTATTGACCAAAATATCTCACAATAGAAGACTGGATATTTTTATCACTCAATGACTTCATTTTTTTATGAGTAAGGCAAAGAAAATTAAATCTGCACTTAAAAATAACAATGATAAAAAATTCCATATTAAGTATTAACCCAGTGAATAGCACGTTGTGTTAGTCCGCCCATTTGACAAGTATTGTTTTCTATTGGCTGAACAGAAAATGTATCTGCTAGGAATGCCATTTCACTAATGCTTCTTCATTACAACGCTCAGAACAGTCCGTAAATCAAATTTGGGACACGCGTCTCTGACCGAACTCTTGAGTATTAGAGAACGGATTGGTCATTTACATGTAGCAAGGGNTATATGTACAGACACATCTGTGTCTGTACATAAAAACAAAAATGGCCTACGTTTTTTTAATTTTCATCAGTTCTGTAAGTTTCAAGCCAAAAGGTAAAACAGTTTTCCACTGATCGTGTTATCGGTGAAAGTGTAGGCGATGGCGATGACAGATGCAGGTGACAACTATTTGTACAGACACATCTGTGTCTTTGCATAAAAATGTTTATATTTCTATGGTGCTCAGGTAAAAGAGAAATTTAAGAAACCCATTTTTCAGTTTTTACCCCAAAATTGCAATTATGACGTCACCCTGAGATGACATGTGTAAATGTTAATTTAGTCACTAAACACTAAAGATTTATTTATTACCCAAAAGAATATATGTAAGACTGCATTCCCACAGATTTTAGATTGACCTATCCCCGTGGGGAGTCTCATTAGATTGCTGTCAGATTAGCCAGCTTAAATGTCTGTCCCGCCTACTAAAAGCTGTAAGGGGGTAATTATGTTTCGTGTGCGCTCGGCTGACAGCAATTTAGCATGAACACCCAGGGAGTTACGTCGATCCAGATGGATCAATCTAAATCTGTGGGAACCCAGTCTAAGGCAGTAAATAAGGTGCTTTGGGTGAAGTGTGATAATCTTAAACTGACGATTAAAGCTCTGAGTAGCCTATGCTTATACATAGCAATGAGAAATATAAATGCCAGTATTTTATATTTTTGAGATTTCTATCGTTTTAAATCAGCACAAAGATAGGTGCATAATTGAATAAGATGCAGAAAAACCCTCATTTTTGATATATGGATGATAATAAGCTTTAAGGGTTACAAAACCATCTTTACATACAAACTCTCCGATTTTGCTAATTTGTCAACATATGATAACTTACCTTCTCTGATAATTCCCTTTTGTTTAAGTCATATTCCAGCTCTTCCAAACTGAAATAATAAAGAAAATAAACAATACGGTATGTATCAGTGTTCTCCACGACCTGTTTTTAGGTGGCGCAGCGCCACCTTATCTCGATGCTGCGCCACCTTATGCGATCTTGCGCCACCTAATATGAGTGTCCCGCCACCTTATATTTCAAGCATTGAGAAGATCTTAATAATAATAAATATTTTCTGGTAGAAATATAAGATATTAAACTTCATTTTGTATAGCTTGACTGTCGTTTTTGCATCCGTTCAACGCGATATCAATTAAACACTGCAGCCGACAGTAGTCGGGCAGTCTCAAAACAGATGACAAGTTTACCCCATAATGCGTATTTCATGAGTACATGTATTTAGCGAGCGTCAGGTTCCATTCTGGCAACTCTACCTCTCCGAGACAGATACCACAAGATACTCAGTTTTTCTCATTAGAATCTCATACAGTGGATTTACAGACCTGGTGATCATCGGTTAGTAATAACGAATATAATCATAACAAGCACAAGCAAATACGGCACTTTACGGAACAGTTTACTGTGCTGTTCATCTCCCCGTAAAACAAATTTATTACTACAATAATCAAAGGGAATGATTCCCATTTTTTCAAAGATCTGAAGAATGAAAAACCTACTATGTGAAACTTTCAAAGAAATCTGCCGACTACTACCGACTATAACTACAAAAGTACCTCAAAATGTAGATGTTAGCATGCCGTCGAAGCAGAGCTCGTCGACTTCCGTTTTTTAATAGTGCGGAGATTCACCTTCAACAGACAAAATCAAGGATACGCCCTAAAACAACTGGTGAGATAAAGGCTTTCGAACCAGTAGCCTAATTTCGAAGGGAAGTTTACGTTCTTCGGTTGTTTAAGCGTGGCTTCGGCATGAACCAGGAGAAGGTAAGTTATAAAATTTCATATATTTCGTCGTATCATGTGTCATTACTCGCAGAAATCTATACACAGGTAGAAGGTAACATTAGAACAAAACACTTTGTAGTAATTGATGTCGTTTTTAATTCAGTAGTATTTTTGTCGTAATGCTGATAGAAATGTGTGATGAAAAACGTGGTGTAATCACGTAGACAGTTTTATCTAGATTTAACTAGTTTCAGTCATGTGCTCTTGTTTGTGCCAAGTAGCCATGCTTTGCAATAGGCTGAATCTGCCAAGTGCTCTTATTAGTCCCGCCTTTATACCTTTTAGGGCGATGGCAATCACGTACACACAGTATGATGTACTAACTCTTTGTACATCGTCAAACGTGAGCATTGACGTTATCCCCGGGTATGATCTGTCATTAATATTTTAGAAGAATAAGAGAAGCTACATCGAGACTTTCGAACAGATTGTGCATTAAAATATCAATAAAAGGTAAGTACAGTCACAAACGTCTATATCAGTGTGTCAACACAGAGAGGAGGGGGGGTGGCATACAACGATATACATGTATGTGTTCGACGGAAGATCGTTGCGTCGTTAAATTGTATTGCTAATTGCAAATAATTAATGTTTAGAGAAATGCAAGTTTTCAGGTGTTCTTTGTTTGTTGCTTATCTTGCAAAGTAAGTCTTTAGTTATTATTATTGTATTTTCTTTCTTTTTCGCCGCAGCTGGCATCAGATCATTACCAAGCAATCATAAACCAGAACAGCTTCATGGTGCGGGGACCACAGTAGTCTCAACCCTGCCAAATGAATAAAAATTTGCAGGATATAGGTCAATGCCTTGTAATTCAGGTAAATTCAAAAATAAAAGTGGTCAGTTGTAATCCTTCTTAGTCTGTCTTTACTCTGGAAGACTTGAGTCTAATATTTGTGATTAAATGACAAAACATAAAAGGGATTTTCCCACATTTGCTACAATATTCCAATAAAATGCATTTTTTCTCTCTGCATGTTCTTCAATAACATTTCATGCAATATTCAATCTGATGGATTTAATATGTGTTGCAATCTTAAATTGGTAATTTTTGGTAACACCATGGTCTTTTAAAAAATGACTACATAAGGACCTCAACATCTCTTTTAAAAATGGGCAGTGAAAATGATTTCCAAATACTTTAGCTTGTTGGCATCTAAAATTGCTTAAAATGTAGGAAATTGCACCAATTTTTTCAAAAATTTCCCAGGGGAACATGCCCCCGGACCCCCCTAGCATGGCAAGTGCCTGCGGTGCTCGCTTGCTAGGACCCACACCAAAATCACACTCCCCCACCTTATAATTTTGAATTGTGGAGAACCATGTGTGTAAGGGTTGGAGACTACTGGTCAGGAAATCTGGTGGGGAACCGACTGCTGCACAAATTTTCATGCAATAAGACTCCTGTTAACAGTTCAGAATTGAAATCAGAATTGTTTTTCCACAGAACATGCTCAGCATGGGCATGACGGGTTAAGAAGTGCAGGGAGGGAAATGGGAATGAAAATGGTCGGAGGCTGTAATTAGGTCAAGGTCTGAAAATTTCGCTGTGAAAGTATATGGAGCAGCCTCCCAACACCAGCCTCGTTTTGAAATCCACCCCGAAAATGGCGACCTTCACCTAATACAGCCTCCGACGATGTATCTCTAGAAAGTTCAGCATATCACCTTTCTGGTGCAAATGTAAGATTATTTTTATGATCTAGAACCCAAATACGATCTCAAGGAGGTTTACTATGCTTAACAGGAGATCTATATATTTGTCCATTTCGGTCCATTTCGCTCCATTTCTATCCATTTCTACATTTTAAAGGACCCGCGCTCTCTTTTTTTTACATTTAGTGCTAGATTGTTCACTTTCGTCATTTGTCGGTGTTTTTCGTTTAAGAGGCTCTGGCGGCTTTGCCACACCAGGCAAAAACCTCCACATCGCTATAAAATTGTAAGATAAGTTGAACTAATTCAATTCACACTCTAAATGTAGTTTTGATTTAATTTCCAATAAGAAAATATTTCAGCAGCATGCAAACGGCCCTAACGGGAAAAGTAACGTTTCTTGTAAAATCTTGAATGTACTTATAAGCTATTGACATCGAAAAAGACCAGAAACCATTTTAAGAATAATATTTACCCTTCAAAACTACAAAACAGCACTCAAGTAAATTAGTATTTTTACCGAAAAGGTTTGTTGCGTATGTAGCTTTTCAATCCTCGAGGCTCCGCTACTTCATACGGCGCGAATGCTGTGGTAATATCTGATTGGTCAAAATTGACAGTCTGATGCAAGAGGTCAGGTCGCATGCAAATAACGTCTGACGTGTTCGGAAGCGTCATTAAAATAGGTCAACACATCTGAAACTCGCGTAGTTTTCGATGCAGACAAAATTGGGAGCGGATTTTATTTAAAAAAGGAAAAATATCTAAGGACAAGTAAAAACCCCGTATATTTCTCATGTTGCCGCTGCTTATAGAGCAGTCGCCCGTTTGGACCAGTTACTGAGATTGGCACTCGCCAATGCGTTTTAGCGGTCGCATTTGGCGACTGGCGACCGCCCATTTCCCTCCCTGGAAGTGGCTGAAGGTGTTCCATGAAACCCAAAGCATTTTCTTCCACACTAATCAAGCAAGAGATAGAAACTGGCCACACCTAGTCACATTCAATAGAAATAACATACTAAGTACAAAAGTCAAACGAAGTATGTCTGAAACACATACGGAGTACATGTTAACATGGCAGATCTAGAGCAAATGTTTACCGCTAAATTTGGACCCCCAACTACTTTCTCAAGAACAGTTACATAGGAAGCTGGGGGTAGAATAGCACTGATAGCAAACTTCTGATCAATTGGTTTCTCTTCCTCACTTCATTTTCATTTTTGTCATGCAGTGCACCAACAAAGTATTTTAAGGTTCAACGACGTAATTTTTCCTAACAAAAGACCATGCCATGTGTACTGTGAGCAACTGATAGTAAAGAAACTGAGCATAAAGCTGATAAAACACAAAAAGCATGAACACGTGTTGCAGCCATTTTGTCGTGTAAGTATCACAAGAATAATTTAAATAAAACTATTAATTACAACATATACGGAATCCCCCAACCTCAACGAGTCACAAAATAGTATCTGTGAGACAAACTGAGGTCAATCAATTATGTATAATTAGCTGGGAACTCCTCCTGATTTTTTTATCCCATCTCCTTTCGAATGAAGTAAAATATATTGTCAAGAAAAGAAACAACATTTTCCTTATATTTACACATTTCGAGTCAGCTTGAAAATTCGTCAGACATAAGGACTGAAGATACATGATTTTTTAATGATCCAAGACGAATTTGTCTGACATGTCCGATACCTTAAGTCTGTAAGACGGTCACTGTTGAAAGTTTTTTGCAGGTTCTAGTGCTTTGGTGTCTGCACAGAGACTATAATCTCGAAAGGTACAAATTCTTGTAAATTTTCACATAAGTTCAAATTTTAGCTTTATTTTTTCTCTCTTCAAACTTTCAAGCACTTTAACCAATGAGAATGAGAGTACAGAAAATTCCACCCTAGCAATTGACCCAAGAAGACACTTGGATGGCATTTGGTTTCATGTAAAAATCATCATTAAATACTCAGAGTAACCACACAGTTTAATTCCGGAAATATACTGAAAATCAAATAGTTATATTATATGGTGAGGGGTGGCTGCAAATGTGCTGATTCTTCTGCATATTTCGATTACCAGTGGATCTGAAATAGTACTTTATAAAACATTGAGCTTCTTACCTTTTCGTCAACTGCGGCTTGATAAGCAGAGCTTCTGCTGTCTTACCGGGCATTTTAGTGCGAGAAATAACTGTAAGCACGATTGCTGTAAGTATGACTCTGTTGGTCGCCTTCTTTTCGGTCAAGATTTTCCCGCTACCTTTTGGGCGAGTTTATTGAAAGAGGTAAGGCATTATCTATGTGTTAAATCATTTTAATATTCACCAATGAAAAGAATAGCCATCAACAAATACTGAATACATATTTTATTTAAGAAATGTATAAATAAGCAGATTTGTATATTTCTATGTAAAACACGTCGAAAAAGTTGACTACCTTTGTATACCGACCCCCGCCTTCCTCATTGTTTGATGTCAAGGTCACCTCAAATGTCACCGCGAGCAAATTGTGGTAGTCAAGTTCGTGGCGCCTCTCTAACGCATCCTTATAGATCTATAGACTGTACGCGAAGCATTACAGGGCTAGTTCATTTCCATACACGGAGCTACTAATTGAAAGTTTTTAAATATACATTGATTACAAGGCAAAAATTTAAGTGAAAACTATATGCGTTTCCTCTAGGCCCCACCATTTCAATTAAAATAGCATATTCCCCGACTCAAGCGTTGAATCTAATCGTGTCTTTATTGAAAATAGACACCGTGAATGATAGAATAATTTCATAAAATTAAAACAGGTGGAACACAATATAAAAAAATGGAACATTGACTTTTTTGTATCAAGGGATTGAAACTTTTTTCCTTTTCCACTTAGGGGTCATCCAATTTTGTTATCAGTAGGGGCCTATAATAGGCCTACGTCTGGTGAATTTGCCAACCTAAGTTGATAGCCTAAAGTAGCAGCAGCGATTTGGGAATGAAAACTGTAATATCGATTTCAAAAAGATCTCCCAAACCTGAAAAACGTTTTAAAGCCTACTCAAGTCTGTGATATCATAGGGTAGGGCTCCCCTGCGCCGGAAACCGATCCGTATCTCACACCAATGTAGGCCTACCAAGAAGTGAGATTTGCGATTAACGCTTCGCCACTCTGTTTGCAGAGGTCTGGTGAATAAAGCATCAAAAATAAGTTTTTGAACAAAAAGTGATGGCTTTTATTGCAATAATATCAACACTATTACTTTACAATAAACAGTTACTAAAACAGCTGAAACCTTCGTTTCTAATACGAAAATTTACCCATTCTATCAAGGTATTTATTTTTTTAATTTTCTATGATACAAAAAAAGCTAAATGTATATCTTTCTGTGTCACCAGAGATTTAGAAAAAAGTTGAATTCCCGAATATATCTTTAACGTCATTTCTCACTTTTCTGTTTTCTTCAAACACACACACACACACACACACACACACACACACACATATATATCGTCCACGATACTGGGTAACAGCAGTGGGTGATCATCTTTGAAAGTCTGTCAAAATATTCCTTTGCGTTGGATTTAATACAATGGAGGTGCTTTCATGTGAAAGGGGATAGATTTGTCTTAAACTTTTAATTCTTAGTCAAAAATGACGCTAAAACAGCGATTAAATCTGGGTCACAGACAAACATGTAGGCCCCTACCAGTCCGATTTGCAGCTATACATTATGGAAGAGAAAACTCTCAGAATAGTATTTTCATTTTTTTTCCTCAGGGATCTCATCTCAGGGATCATTTACGGCACACTCACTAGAAAAAAAAAACAAAAACAAAAATTTGATGGATGCAGAAAACGGGTTGTTGTGCGTTACTATCGTTTCCGTTTTCAACTTCATTACAAAGCATTATCTCCCATACACGCGAACTATACAAATCGTTCGAATTCGGGATTAAAATTCCTAATAGACACTCTGCTTTTCATAAAACAACAATGTGTAAGGAAATCCTGACATCTCAGCGTTTAATCATAGATGTTGTGACCCAACTCTGTGTCGTTTCCTCCAGACTCGCGCAACAACGAAACCACAGCTAGCCTAGCGTGTTGTTTCGTTTCCCCATTCAGATTCGGCCCAGAGTGGAAATTTTCATTCATGATGTAATGACCCGATCACATGAATATTAAATGAGACTAATTAAATTTGCTATAGGCCTACTCGGTTCCCACTTCTTGGCGTGCTTTCCCAACTCTGTGAAGTTAGTGTAGGCCTACTCTTTCCTAATAATTTCTGTATGTGTGAAATGTTATTTTTTCCAAAATTAATGAATATAAAGCAAAATACGATGAGCATTCTAAACAGAAAGCGTGCTCACAAGATCGGCGCCATATTTGCCCATGTCCCAATGTTGTTACCCAGTATCGTGGACGTGCAGATATATTTATATTGAGAAAGAGTGTCAGTGACTAATAATTTATAGTCCATAAGTACTGTTTTTTTAGACCTGCTCAAGTTTTTTTACCCTGGATTTGTTTTTATATTGTTATTATATTAGACAAATTCCCTTAAATGTAGAATGCAAGAACATATTCAAATTGTAAACACTTATAAAAAAGCGAACATAACATATTTAATAGAAAATACTGCCAAATATTTCCCTTTACTAACAAAAAATAAATAATTAGTAAAATGCCGTTCTGAATATAATAATCATATCCAGGGGCGGATCCAGGATTATTTGAAGGGGGGGGGGGTCCGGAACGACAGGCCTCGGATGCGAAGACAACCATCGCCCCCTTGCTGTGGGGTTCGGGGCCTGCTCAAGGACCCCGAAAATTTTTGGTGTTTTTTAGAGCAAACAGTGCCCCTTGGTACGGTTTAGAAGTATGATTTAGCTAGTCAAGATTCTAATGTCAAAAGAGGGATATTGGTGTGATATACATGTATTTTTCAGAAACCGAAGGGGGAGTCAGGACCCCTGACCCCCCCTCTAAATCCGCCACGGTTTAGAAGTATGATTTAGCTAGTCAAGATTCTAATGTCAAAAGAGGGATATTTGTGTGATATACATGTATTTTTCAGAAACCGAAGGGGGAGTCAGGTCCCCTGACCCCCCTCTAAATCCGCCACTTATCATATCTAGCTTTAAGTATTTAAATATTTCATGCATGATATATTCAACTAATCGAATGCCTAGACATTACGAAAAAGCGCTAAATGAAAAGTGTTAAAATTAAAAATTTTAGTCTTTAATTTCAATTTACCTCGCCATTTGTTTTCAAGCCACGTAAAATACAACATAGCCTCTTTTCAATGAATTAATTAAGATTCGTAGTTTCTTATTTGAATGTATTTTAATTTAGACCTCCGGTGCCATCTCTGGGGTGGCAGTTGGTGTGACTGACATTTCTGCGCCATCTGGTAAAGATTTTGATGACTCTTCTGTCCCCTCTTCTTCTTTCTTTCTGTCTTTTTTCTTGCGTTTTGACTTCTTTTCTTTTTTCTCTTTTTTTGCTTTCGTTGGCTCTTCTTCTTCTGGGGCTGCTTCCTCTTGTGGAGCATCGGCTGATTGTAGGTCGTCCTTTTGTGGTACAGGTTTGTCCAACACGGTTGATTCTTGGGTAGTGCCGCTGTCTAATGCAGCAGTACCTGGAATAGAGACTTCTGATGAGGTTGCCGGCGGAAATTTGACCTGGGGCGGTGGATCAACAGGCAGTGCCGGCGATGGTAACTCTGGCTGATTAACTACGGTAGCTGCATGTGCTGGCACAACGGTGGTTTCTGACTGGAGAACAGTAGTCTGTGGTTTTGGTTGGGGCGTGTCTTGGTGTGGCTTCGATTTGGAGGTTGGGGTGAGCGTTGTTGATTTCTGAGGCTCTGAACCCGGTGGAGGTTTTAACAGCGCTTTCAACTCTGGATAGGGCGCTAAATCGGCAGCGGTCTTTCCTTCGTGCATCCGCGGAATAACGTTGGCGCGGAATTGTAGCAGCGTCTTCACGTTTCCCTCCAGACCGTTCACTGCTGCGAAGTGGAGAGGTGTGTAATCTTTCTTGTTTTGAAGATTAACGTTGCCTTTTTTCATTACCAACAAAGCCAGGACTTGCGGCGCTTTAGGTGACGTCCACTGCGCAGCGAAATGGAGGGCAGAATCTCCATTCATCGTCTGCAGATTTGGATCTGCACCATGGTCAAGAAGTAACTTTACCGTCTCTACTGCTTCTGCGTGGTCAAAAAATGGTTTGACTGCTCGGTGAAGTGGCGTTTCTTTGGTGTATAAATCAGGTTGCTCGACAACAGCGCCATTTTCCAGTAATATGCGACAGACGTCTTTGTGACAACCGTGTGCTGCGAAGTGAAGCGGACTCCATCCTCGCTTATCGCACAGGTTTACATTTGCACCTTTTGCTATCAGCAGTTTCAACACTCTGTCTAAGCCCCTACCTGCCGCGGAAAAAATTGGCGCATGCCCTAAACTATCCTGGGCGTTAACATCGACACCCTTATCAGCAAGCAACGTCAATAAGGTGCACATTTTGTTTTGAGACAGGTTTCCTGCGATGACAGCAGCGATGGTTCCTGACTCCGCATTCAGGACTTTCTCCCTCCCTTCGCGGGTGTATTTAACTCCCTTACTTAGAGTTGCCTTAACGTTAACATTTGTCTGTAAGATTTCCTCTGCCAGATAAACTGGACCATAAAATAAGACCGCGTGAAGGGTCGTCCACCCATTCTGATGTCGAAGAAGACCGATTTCGCTTGCCATGTACTTCATGTTTGCCCTGGCCAACTCCCGGGCGGTCACTTCATGCCCGTTCTGGAGAGCCTCCACCAGCTCTGCTGATATAACGGCAATATCGATCTGAGTTACCGAGCGGTCTGTTTTGTTGTTCATGATTCTCAGTGTTTCCCTACTCAGTGTTTGCTACTCGACAATAGTCGCAAGTGTGATTGATATAGTCCCAATTTCTTCTCCTATTTTCAATCTTTTTGAGATGCGGCAAAAGAAAAAAAATGATCTCTAAGTATCTCGAGTCATCTGGAGCTACAAGGTGCTGTCATCCAAGGGCCGCTGACTATTTATCGCTATGAAATTACTGCATGCTAGTGATCGTTTGAAAGGTTTTGTTTGATGACTGAGCTTATGAAAAGAAAACCTTTCAAATATGTATCGGTTTGCATGGGATAATAAATAACAACCATCGAATTACTATGTAAGTTGATGACGGCTTACTGTGGACTATTTATTCTCATTAATACGCTCGTCAATAACATATCGATTATGTGAAAAGAAGTCAATATCAGTGTTTTATTTATGACTGTAAGTATGTCAGTAACGCATAAAGTGCGCCATTTTTGCCTTCTCCATAAAAAGACTTTGATCCCCCCTTCCCCATACGAACCAACATTCTTTTCTCTCAAAAATGCTTGTTGACAAAAATTGGTTTTTGGCTTTTTTTCTAATAAGTGAGTTCTTTAGACCCACATTACAGCCGACGTTTCAACAGTAAGTTTGGCTGACAGTCAACACAGACCAATATCCCTACTAATAGAGCTACGACAAGATGGTCGAACCAATCGATGTGTGGGTGCAAGTTTTCCTAAAACAATAATCCCTAAATATGAGGTAGATCAATTAAATATCTTATAAACAAATACAACTTAAGTTATGTAAACTTTGTGTGTGTGTGTGTGTGGGGGGGGGGGGGGGGG